GTCCAGTTTCTAGTTTTAAGTATTCACTAAAAGACCCTATTTTTTCAACAGAAAAACCCCCACCGTTTATAAGTTCTGCTGTCAACGCGAAAACACTTTTTGTTCGGTGGGGTCACCGGAAATGACGTCGCAATGGCTGAGTTTCAAATATTTTTCAACGAAAAATTCAGAAAATCTTCTTTAAACATGTATCTTAAATGCTATAAAAAGTTTGAATAAGAATTCCATTTTTTATATGGAAAAAAAAATTGTTGAAAATATGCTAATTTTTTCCCGGTGTAAACCCATGTAATCCCTTAATATTAAGTAGAAAGCAGGTAGAAAAAAGAAAAGTAATAACGAGATCAACTTTCTTCAAGGTTTTTTCGATAGCATGAATATATATTATATTCAAGTAAAATTGTATTTTTATCTCGGTGAAACAGAATGTGTCGTCGTTTCTCCTTTACATCGAAGAAAGATTACCAATGGTATACTTAAACGCAGCTTTCGGTTAATGTTTGAACAGATGCGCGATAATCGACGATTTCTTACCGATTTCGTGATCTTTCCTATTCAATCTCTCTCTCTCTCTCTTTTCCCTTTTCTGTTTCCTTTTATAACACAAAAAAAAAGGAACTACGAACACGGAACATTCAGTTGTAAAGAAACAGGATATTTATAAATCGCTTAACAATAGTTTTTTTATTACTCATATTTCATACAATATACATCAATACATTTTTTATAATTTACTATAATTCAATTTATCAACCATACACTTTTTTTTACTTCACAAACAAATACCTTTTATTCTAATTCTATGGTAAAGGAGTCAAGGGGGGTGGCCTGTTTAATCATTTCGATATTTTCATCAAATACATATATATTAAAAAATATCAAAAAGAGTTAAATTTAATGTTTACACCCTCCCACCCCCACCCCACCCCCGTCGTCGTGTAATGTGAAAATTACCAATTAAATAATAGTGGGAAGGATAAAATTGAAGGAAGATGAACGAGAAGATAGTTTTCTATTCTACGAAGGTTTTAATTAGCTGTGATAGGTCTCTTGTTGCTAGAGGAATGGTGAAGGGGTGGTGGGGTGACGGGTGGAGACGGGGGGGTAATTTAGAAGGGTAAAAATCATTGGTCACGCTCAATAAGTCGACGTGGTTCGTGTTTCTCGCGTGTGGAATCACCTTGAGGCATCGAACCAAAGATAATTCACGATCGTTCCATAATTTATAAAACTATGTATTTCTTATTACTTACACATACATAGAGAAGAAACTTATGCTTGTCTCTCTCTCTCTCTCTCTTTTTTTTTTTATTTTTTGTGTAGACACAATGCATGTGTTTTTTTTTTTTTTTTTATTTTTTGTGTAGACACAATGCATGTGTAGATATTTTACAAAATATATGTGTGTGTGTGTGTGTATGTAATCTTTTTCTCACTCTTGTTAATACTATCTCGTTTATTCGACTATCTCAAAAAAAATGTAGCCTTTTTTTTGTCTCTCGTTATCTTGATTACGAAACATTTTTGTACGTGTAAGAGAGAGAGAGAGAGAGAGAGAGAGAGAGAGAGAGAGAGAGAGAGAGTGAGAGAGAAAGATAGAGATAACAGATAATAAAGTTGTTTTAAATGACACGAATTACAAAGTAGAATTCAAAAAAAGTTTGTTGGCTGATCCAAAAATATTCTTTTTAAAGTTATTTTCAAAATTAATTATTATATTTGTAGATTATAAAATTATTTAGTTGAATTGGAAACTTTTTTTAAATCTTTAGTTTCTAAATAATTT